TCACGACTACGAACGACTCGCAACACGAAAATAAGGAACAAAAACTTTTTGACATTTGGGCCATGAGCGGTTAGCATCCTTAACATGAATGTTTCACTGATGGAACAGGTTAGTCACAAAGAAAAATCGATACCAACGTGGGTCGGTGGTGGCGCGAGACTGTGCTGCAGCCTGGGGTTCCTAGTTCCAGTGAAAAGTGTGTCAAGTTTGCCGTAAAGTTCGCGTCGGCGGTGTGGCGCGCCTCGAGCCGGCTCCGCGCTATCCCCAGCAGGGATTATGAAGCGCGGCTCCGTCTGGAAGCTGGCTGGCGGGCGAGGTGGTGCGCGACGCGAGGCAGTTCAACCGAGGCTCTAACTGCGGGAGATCGCGTGCGGCCCGCGCGACGGCCGGCTGACACTGGCCGCCCGCCGCCTGCGAGCCTCCGACACGGCGCGACCTCAGCCGCGGCCTCACCGCACCGCACGGAAGGAACTCATTCGCGAGATTGCCCAGTGCATTCATCAACGAATTAAATCATTCCGAATCAACGAGCAGCGTCTTTGTAAAATATCAATTGTAGAGTCAATATGAATCACATTTTCTGTAACTAAAAATTGATAATAATTATTTATTTATAATATCGCTTATTAAATATTATTAATCTTATTATGTGACATGTACATCTCACATGTTACTTGAACAATATTAATAATTAATAAATATAAAATAAGATAACCACATTCTGCGACGCGTATCATTTACGTAACCAGGTTGGTGTGTAAATATTTACAGAATCATCAAAATATCATTGTAACTATGTTAATTCATTGTAGAAAACTTGGGTATCCGTAGATCGAGCAGTCTACACAATACCCACCAGCAACTCACAATGACCCCAGGAAGGACGCATGAAGTCGGGTAGAGCAGCGCTTGAAGTCGTGGGACGGAGCTGATTGATAGCTTCCGATGAAGATCATATTTTATGCGATCCTTGGTCATCCGCGCGCGCCGGGCCACACCAACGCACACATATTTTTTTCTTCGACGCGTACGATTCCTCCAATTATCCCGTCCATAAATAATTGTTAAACTTTCTGTGTATAGAGTCCACCGAAATAATGATTGTGATTAAACTTAAATACTCGTAACTGTATTGATAGAGTGATACTTAGGCTAAAATGATAGAATGCTATTGAGAACGCGCACGGTATGAGCGACGACCGAACATGAAATGTGTACCTAACTATATTGTGTTTCTTGTATTGAACTGTAAATCACTCTTTTTGGTAAACATCTAGCTCGTACATACATCATGATGTAAGTAAGAACCTATTGCACAAATTAATAAAAAAAGAGAAAATTAATAGGTAGTTCAAATGAAAGTGTAAAGAAAGTTGTCTAGGTTGCCCTGCCGCCCACGCGCCGCCCGTGCCGCCCACGCGCCGCCTGCGCCGCCCAGGCTACCTTGTGGTCCAGACCAGAGCCCCGATTACGGTAACTTATAACGTCAACAATCCAGACACGCTTCTCGATTCTGCGATACGATTGGTCGTTCAACAGCGTACGTCAGCTGTTTTAACCAATCGTATTGCAGAATCAGAAACGCGTCTGGATTGTAGACGTTAAAAGTTACCGTAATCGGGGTGCAGGCGCACCACGACAAGCAGTTACGCCACGATAGCCGAACGGTAAAGGGGTCGGTCTGGCCGACTCGTGATCCGGGGTACGCGGGTTCGGTCCCCGGCGCCACTCGACTATTGTCGTGAGCTCACTCATGATACAAGCATATTTAGCTTATTACGAGGGGCTTACCGCCCGCCGTGGAATTTTGTCTGTCACAGAAAAACTGTGCGTCCCTGTTTCAAATACCGGGATAAAAACTATCCTATGTCCTTTCCCGGGACTCAAACTATCTCTATGCCACATCAAAATCGGTTCAGTGGTTTAGGCGTGAAAGCGAGACAGACAGACAGACAGAGTTACTTTCGCATTTATAATATTAGTATAGAAGTATAGATATAGATTTGTGCAATAACAAATTACTACTAATCTTTAATAAATAATAATAATAAAATAAATCTTCCTGATGATATAAAATGCGTTATTTTTAATCTCTTAATAATTGTGTAAGTGTGACTCTACATCTTATAAGAGAGAAAGGTTACTGGCTGACTGACTCACTGATTCATCATGAAATCTAAGAAACTGCAAGTGCTAGGAGTCTCAAATTTTGCAGGGGGGTTCCTTTTAGAACGTAGGTGCTCACTCTCACCACAGTAGGTAGGTACATATTATTATACAGGCTGTTCGTGGGTGTTGACCCCAAGTGAGCTACTTTTTTTAATTATTGATATTTTTGTTTTTATTCAATAGGGAACATGCATCGATTTTAATTGCTTATTATTTTTAATTTGATTTTGAAATAAAAAAACACAAAAATAGTTATGAAATGGAGTACAGCAGAAAATATAACGATGTTTGAAGAAGCTTTGTATGGATATTTTTTGTATTACTTTCTGGGGGCACGGCAGTGCCCCCACCAAGTCGAGCAAAAAAGCGGCACGGCCGTACCATCCTTTTCTCGAAGCAATTCAGGCCATTTTCGACCGCCTGTAACTTCGTTGTGGATAAAACTAGAAGGCTGAATTTTCATTAGCTATGCAGGCATTGTAAAGACACGGTATATTTAAAATTTCATTCAATTTGAACCAGTAGTTTAAGAATTATAACGGGTCAAAGTTACTTAATTTTGTCACTCACTGACTGACTCACTGACTCACTGACTCACTCACTGACTCACCGATCATCAAAACTCTAAGGCACTTCTAGCAGACCTAGAAGCTTCAAATTTGGAATATAAGTAGTGTTTGGTGTATGAATCAAGGAAAAACTAAAATATTTGGGGGCACGGTAGTGCAACCGCCAAGTCGAGTAAAATTTTTCAATTTCGGTCCAGTTTTCTAGATACATAACTGCTGTCTACAAAATACAAAAAGAAATGAGATCCCATCAAAAACAATACTTGTCAAAAAAACCAAGTCTCGCAACTCAGTTGTTCTACGGTAAAAAGTTGTGAGATCCATGTAATACCAAGTCCAGGCCAGGAAATCTTTAACGTTTTACATAAATATATTGACTTGGCCATCGCATGAAAACACGTGTAAATTAAATTATTTAAAAAAAAAAAAATAGTCTAAAATTAGTCTAAATTTTGTTTAGTTCTGTGTAAATGTAAGATCTGGTTTATCTGTGTAATATTCTTAATTTAAGGTGGTTTAATTAATTATTTTTATATGCATGCTGTGCTTACATCGAGTAGGGTAAATCAGTATGAATTGATTTTACATTCATTACTTACTTTTGCATGATATTTGATTGTACCCAGTTTTGTAAGCCAAATAAAAAAAAATAAAAAAAACTGCTACGCCGCAGAAGCGATCGACACTGGTTACATTTGTGACATTTCATTGACATTCACCTTCACAAATGGCTAAGCTCTAACGCTCAAGGCATCATCAAGGCATTCCCTAATTTAGTCAAGAGTCGTGAAGGTCGGTCCTCGCCTCTTCTAGCCAAAATTATGAGGTGTCTTTGGATGGACACGAAGAGGACCAAATTTTCACAAGACGGTGCCGAGTGCAGAGTACAATGGTTTTATTAATTAAAATATTTTTATTAACACTTATTCTCTGATGTAATGAAGAAATCAGAACAGTGCCCGGATTGCGCTAAATATTTTCAACTACAACTGGATGACTAACGAACATCAGCTGTTTGGACAAATTCGTATCGCGGTGTCGTTTTGACAGCTAGTTCAAACGAAATCAAAACGTAACTGCTTCTTTGTGTAAAAGCTGAAAGAAAGCTACTTTTTCTCAAACGCCAGTCGAACATTTGCTGTGTTTTCGTGAAAAAGTAAGGTGTTCGGACTTTTAATCGGCCCCACGCTTTTCCTGGTGTACATCAACGATCTCTGCTCCCTTCCCATCCTTGTTCCCATCCCATCCCATTCCCATCCAATTCTTTGAACCAAGCATACAATTATTTTTTTCGTTTTAGTACAACTGCATTTCAGGATAAAGCTTGTTTTTTAAAAAGTTTTTTTTATTACAATTTTATTTGATGTTATATCGAGTGAACCCGAAGTGCTCAGTGCGGTCCGGAGGCATGGCATCGATCGTGCCAGACAGTGCATCCGTGTACCTAGAAGGACGTCACGTCCAGCAGCATAAGTAAAAATAATGTGAAAATGACAGAGAGGGCCGATAAACCAAATTAAGTACAAGATGCTCTTAAAAATATTATTTAGTTTGTTTGGAAAAGTAAAAACAGAAACTAGCCTATTTTTTTGGTTTTATTGCTAGGATCCAATTTTTCTAATATAATTAGATGCCCTATTAAAATTTCGTCTGTCTTTTGGAGGTGACCTTATATGTATAAAAAAAACCTTCTAATGCTCAACGTAAAAAAATCTCATAATATGACGTTCTCCATTAACAAAATCCCAACAAATACCCTTAGTGGTCTTCGATTAATCGCCAATACTCACCCCCTTCTATCTGACCTACCTTGTAACTGTTCACCACTGTCTTCGACTGATGAAATTAAATATCTAGGCATTACTATAGATTCCAGACTAACTTTTAAATCCCATATCGTAGCTACAGCCGGGAGACTCCGCAAGCTTATGTTTGTCTTTCGTAGGCTTCGTCACGTAGCAGACCCCAGCCTTGTCAGGATAGTCTATGTAGCCCTCTGCCAGTCACTTTTTACCCTACTACGGCAAAGCAAAAGGAGGGTTATGATTTTGACAGGCTATGTAGGTATGTATGTATGTATGTTCATCTGTTCCCTCGTAACTTCTAAACTACTTATCAGAATTCGACAAATGTCAAATGTAAACCGTCACAGCCACCGCACCGATAACAAAAGATCCGTCGTGGTGGTTGCAGACCGAAGCAGCTCGGCGCGGGCCGGGCGGCCCCCCCTGCCCGTCGTCCGCGTCGCTTCGCAATCGTCTGACTCCGGCCTCCGCCCGCAGTCCGTACGCCGCCACGCGACACGAAACTGGTTTGATAGTGCGACGTTATCTAATAATAATTCTTCAAGAAACGCATATAGTTTATTTCCAACACACAATTCTTTAGTGAATAATTATTTTACCTAAAAGTGTACTACTTCACCTAAGCTGATACTTAGGGTTAAGTGACGTTAGTGAAACATTTATTGTTGTCCGTGATTCCGCGACAAAAAAACAAGATGGTGTAGCTTGCGCTGCGAGTTGAGTGCGCTCGTGCGTCATCGTGCACGATCGGAGGAGCTCGGCCGCCGCATGCCACGCGCCTCGTCTGCCCCACTGGCGCTGCTGCATGTTGTTGGCCATGAAATAACACCGCCAAAACAAACAACACTAGGAATAATTATTACCGAGCCAAATGTCGTACTTCGAACAATATCTCAAATATAACACAAAAATGAAGTCAAAGGCGAAGAAAATTTTAGAGGAAATACACCCTCTCGCCATAATCAAAGAAGTAGAGAAATGGCCGGTTTTGTACGCGAAGGACAGCTCCGATAGGAATAACACACATTTCAAGATCAAAATATGGCACGAAGTAGCAAAAGAGGTGTTCCCAGATTGGCACAGTTATTCTAGAGAAGACAAAGATATCAAAGGTAAGTAGTGGTCCTACACCCATCCATGCTAAGTAATAGCACAAAATAGAAATGTTGTGGTAATAGTTTCAGAATAAATAATAGTAGCAAGTAGGTACCTACCTACACATAAAAAATGCGAATGAGTCGAGATTCTGACACGCTAAAACCACAACTACTAAAACCGCTGAACCGATTGAGATGAAATTCGATGCAGAGATAGATAGTTTGATTGAGTCCCAAGAAAAGACATGGTAGGTATTTTGTTTTTTCAGGATTTTGAAAAGTGAATAGGTAGTGCAAGAATGTCCACCTATTATAGTTTTTGTTTAATTGTCTTTTCAGTTTTTGAAGTAAAAAAGTAAAAGTAAAAGTAAAAAGTATTTTATTTGCCAGCAAAAAAATTTACAGTCTGTTTATCTAGCGGCTGCTGCACTAAGCTGTGCTTGTGTCGCGGCAGCCTTAAGTAACACAGGTTAACAATTGTTGATAAAATATAGTGAGGACACACGGTACATGGCAATTAACAGTTATTAAACTCTTAAGATAATTAGAATATTTTTAACTTAGACTAAACAAAACTAAACAAAAAGTAACTGAGGTAGTGTGTGTAATGTGTGTGTGTGTGTGTGTGTGTGTGTGTGTGTGTGTGTGTGTGTTGTGTGTGTAATGTGCGTGTAATGTGTGAGTAAAGTGCTGTGATGTTATGTAGTGTGTTTAAGGCTATTTATATGGAGGCTCAGCGCGGAAGTAAAGCTTCTGTGTCCAGATAATCAAGGCCTAGCAGCCATGACTCGAGTTCGCGTTTTGCGCCTGGTGTTGTAAGTGTTTTTATGTTTATATTACGACAGACTTTATTATAAACATGAGGCAGAAGGAAGCAGGAGTGGCGTTTAGCAAAAGCAGTTCGAACCGTTGGGACTGGAATCTTAAAAATTCTCCGTTTAAGTAGTTGTTCGTATTCAGGAGACCTTAGAATAATGCTATGCATACTGGTTGTTGCTTTTAAAAAGTACAGCTGTCTTACTCTTAGGACTTTTGCTTCATTGTATAATTGGTTGGTATTAAATTTGAAAGGTTTGCGCAACATCACCTTAATTACCGCCCGTTGGGCTCTTTCTAGTTCTATCATAAAGGTTTTTCCGGCACCACCCCATGCTCTGATGCAGTACATTAATAGTGATTGACAGAGAGCCTTGTATACTAGTAGTAGAGTACCTTTAGTAGCCGAGTACCTTAGGTTTTTCATAATATATATAGTTTTCCGAATGCGGGATGAAAGGTTGGAGATGTGGGCTTTAAACGACATGTTTTCATCTACTGTGACTCCCAAGTATTTTATCCTATCAGTTCGATCAATTCCGTTGCAATTACAATTTAAAGCATTCATCATGTCACAAAGATGTAATCTAAGTTGTTTCGAGGCAGGTGCTTGTGTTTTTATTGTTTTGTGGAAAGCTATATGTTTAGATTTTTTGGCATTTAATGTCAGAAGGTTACTACTGAGCCAGTTAGCGACGGTCTTCAGACCCTGTTCTGCCCTTTCATAAACTCTATCCCACGAGGAGTCTTGGAAAAGAATCACTGTATCGTCAGCATAACACAATATGTCGGCTCCCTCGAGTTTCAAATTTAGGATGTCGCTCATGTATACGATAAACAGGGTTGGACCTAGTATGCTTCCCTGTGGGACACCGTACTCGACCTGGAGAGCATCGCTTATCTCAGAACCGACACGGACACACTGTTTGCGATTTGAGAGGTAGCTGGAAAACCAATCATTAGCTATTCCTCTAATGCCTACCGCATTTAGTTTCTGTAAAAGAATTGGGATTGAGACCGTGTCAAATGCCTTCGCGAGATCTAAGAAGACACCAAGGCAGGATTTATTTTCATCTAGTGCATTTACAACCGTATTTGTGAGCAGCAATACTGCGTCTTCTGTTGATTTTCCACATCGAAAACCGAATTGCCTCTCCGGAATGAGATCGTTATTTTCTAAGAATGCAACTATTCTCTTGTTCACTACCTTTTCTAACATTTTAGAAAAGATGTTGAGTAAAGAAATGGGCCGATAGTTGGACGGACAACTTTTATCTCCGCCTTTGTGGACAGGAGTAACTAGAGCTAATTTCCAAGCTTGAGGAAAAGTTCCTGAAGCTAGGCTGAGGTTGAAAATGTGAGTTAACGGTTTTATGATGTGATTCCTAAGAAGTTTGATAATCAGGGGTGTACACTTGTCGATGCCGGGAGAGCTGTCTAATTTTAAGTCGCTAATAATGTTATTTACCTCTTTTTCGTCTGTTGGAGTCATAAAGAATGATTTAGATGTTAATATTTCGGGTGCTGCTGATGCCGCTAGCGAGTTTTCGGTTACGGCGAGCGTAGTAAGGATTTTGTCAGCCAGGTCCTTTCCTACATTGGCAAAGTAGCTATTGCAGTAATTTAAAGAGGAGGAAGGATCGTTTTTGGAACTTGTTAATTCAGTAGGGGCTTTACGAGTTTTATTTAAGTGACATATATCCTTTATTGTATTCCAGAGTCTTTTAGGGTTATTTCTATTGGTTGTTAAAATATGGTTCTCGTACTCGGATTTAGTTTTTTGGAGAATGTTATTGAGAAAGTTTCGATACCTTTTATAAGTAATTTGAATAATACTATTTTCCGGATCTCTCTTAGCTTTTAAATGCAAACGGTCTCTATGTTTTTGGCACCTGATAAGCCCGGGTGTAATCCAGGGTTTCAAATTGTATTTGGATCGACTAATTTTTATCTGTGTAGTGTTACTTTTCAAAACAGAGTTGATTATTTCGCTGAAAGAAGACTGCGCTTCGTTAACGTCCTGGGAGTCAAGGACGGGTGTCCAATCAGTTGAGGATATTTCATTTACAATTGCCTCATGGTTTACCCTATGTCTGTAACGCGGAGAAATGTTTTTATATTGGCTAGTTTTCATCCCTAGTAAGCATGTATAATGATCCGTGATATCTGTGAGGCATACCAAACCTACGGCCTGATCTGAGGATTTAACAAAGAAGTGGTCAAGGCATGCGTTGGCTCTGGTAGGCTTTGTTATGGCTGGTATTAGTTGATACTCGCTTAGAAGTGATATGTACTCAGTGCTTTGTTCGCTTAGGGGTTGAGCACATATGTCAAAATTCAAATCACCAGTTATAATAATTTTACTATTTTTACTATGGTTGAGAAGTACTGAGTTCAATGACAATAAGAAGTTTCTAATGTTTGTTGCATGTCATTCGTCATGTCTGTCTGTCTGTCCGTCCGTCTGTCCGTCCGTATGTCACAGCCATTTTTTTCCCGAAACTATAAGAGCTATACTGTTGAAACTTGGTAAGTAGATGTATTCTGTGAACCGCATTATGATTTTGATGCAAAAATAAAAATAAAAAAAAAAAATATTGGGGGCTCCCCATACTTAGAACTGAAACTCAAAGTGGGGGTGGGGTATCTATGGATAGGTCTTCAAAAATGATAATTATCGAGGTTTCTAAAATACTTTTTTTTCTAAACCGAATAGTTTGCGTGACAGACGCTTCCAAAGTGGAAAAAAGTTGGTCCCCCCCCATCTAACTTCTAAAATAAGAAAATGAAAAATCTAAAAAAAATATATGATGTACATTACTATAAAAACTACCAACGAAAATTGTTTTGAACGAGATCTAGTAAGTAGTTTTTTTAAAACCTCGTAAATCGTAAACAGCTTATTACCGCGTAATCATACAAATAACTTAAATTAAAAAAAAAATATTTTAATTTCATAAATCAATGGTACGGAACCCTTTGTGCGTGAGTCCGACACGCACTTGGCCGGTTTTTAATGCAGGTTTTTATTTCATTTTTAGTGTGTATAAATAAAAGAGAAAATGAGAACGCAAAAAATGTGCTGTTTGAAATTTTACATAAATATTTATTACTAGCTGTGCCCGCGTCTTCGTACGCGTGAAAACCCGTTTTCACAACATTTTTCATATAGCCTTTCTCGATAAATGGGCTATCTAACACTGAAAGAATTTTTCAAATCGGACCAGTAGTTCCGGAGATTAGCGCGTTCTAGTAAACAAACACACAAACTCTTCAGCTTTATAATATTAGTATAGATTATTATACTTACCGAGTACCTAGTAAGTATCGTGAAAAACTTACATTAGGCAAGTAAACAAAATATGCTCATTAAATGGAAAATAAAATATTTTTTAAGGGACCAAAACGCAAGTAGTTAGGTACCTCCCATTAGAACAAGAAATTATAATTTAAAAAAAAACTTTTTAAAAACAAGCTTTTATCCTAAAATGCAGTTATACTAAAACGGAAAAAATAACAAGGTTCAAATAATTTCTAAAGCTCGTATCGCGCATGGAATTTATTACTTCTTTTTCTCTGTTTGCGCTAAGCTAAATGTGCTTGTGTCACAAGTGGGCTCACCAAAAAAGTCAAGCGGCGGGATTCGAACCTGCGTTCCTCGGATTCCTAATGTTTGGCCAAAAAACGTTTCCCAAATTATCACATCGCAAATAACGTTTCGCAAATTTTCATTTGGAAAAACAACTTATTGCAATTTTTTAATTCGCAAATTTCGTTTTTGGCATAATTATTATTGTTCACCAAATTATTGTTTGGCAAAGTATGTTTTGCCATAATTATGTTTCATTTGGCAAAAATATTTCACGATAAACAATTTACAAAATAATTTGATTAGTGCATAGAATGGAATACAAATAAGCTTGTGGTTATTATTTTGTTTCGTGGGTAGTTAATATAAAAAAAATCTATATTAATTTTCATATTTCATTATTTTTATCGAAATCTGTAATCACCAAGTCGAGCAAAAAAGCGGCACGGCCGTACCATCCTTTTCTCGAAGCAATTCAGGCCATTTTCGACCGCCTGTAACTTCGTTGTGGATAAAACTAGAAGGCTGAATTTTCATTAGCTATGCAGGCATTGTAAAGACACGGTATATTTAAAATTTCATTCAATTTGAACCAGTAGTTTAAGAATTATAACGGGTCAAAGTTACTTAATTTTGTCACTCACTGACTGACTCACCGATCATCAAAATTCTAAGGCACTTCTAGCAGACCTAGAAGCTTCAAATTTGGAATATAAGTAAGTAGTGTTTGGTGTATGAATCAAGGAAAAACTAAAATATTTGGGGGCACGGTAGTGCAACCGCCAAGTCGAGTAAAATTTTTCAATTTCGGTCCAGTTTTCTAGATACATAACTGCTGTCTACAAAATACAAAAAGAAATGAGATCCCATCAAAAACAATACTTGTCAAAAAAACCAAGTCTCGCAACTCAGTTGTTCTACGGTAAAAAGTTGTGAGATCCATGTAATACCAAGTCCAGGCCAGGAAATCTTTAACGTTTTACATAAATATATTGACTTGGCCATCGCATGAAAACACGTGTAAATTAAATTATTTAGTGCGATGGCCAAGTCAATAATTTATGTAAAACGTTAAAGATTTCCTGGCCTGGACTTGGTATTACATGGATCTCACAACTTTTTACCGTAGAACAACTGAGTTGCGAGACTTGGTTTTTTTGACAAGTATTGTTTTTGATGGGATTTCAATTTTCATTAACAATGAAGGTGATTCTAGCGCTCGGCGGCCGCTACCGCGGCACGCTTCGCTCGCCTTCGCGCGTTAATGGTCACTATTCTAACCTAACCTACTATTTTCTGCAATACCTACCTACTTTCTGCAACCATACTGTTTTCTGCAATCTCTTTGTTTTACATAAAATTTTGGTGAAAACCATGATCATGTGCCTATGCTTTGATTTGTGGGTAACGGTGGGTAAGTAGGTATGTGAAGTGTCAATTTGACCAAACAAATTATTTGAAATATAATATTTGGCAAAATAAAACATTTGCTGTATTTAAAACATTTGCCAAGTAAAATTTGGCCAAATGATAATTTGACTAAATGAATTAGTTGCGAAAAGTACAGTTGCTAAGAGTAGGCGCACACCGTTGATTTTTCGTCGGCCGATAGTTTAGTCGGGCAATTGATCAGTATGGGCATGTATGGGAGTGTACACTACGCCGATTCGATTTGGCCGATTCTTCATACAGTTTAAAAAAATCGGGCACAACTATCGGCCAACTAAAAATCAACGGTGTGCGCCTACTCTAAAAGTTCATTTGAGAAATGAAACTTTGGCGATAAGTTGTTTGCGAAGTGAAATTTGGCGAAAAGTAATTTGGCCAAACGGAAGGATACCGTCGCGACTAGTTCGACCCACGCCACGGTTCGACCCCTTCACCGTTCGGCAATTGTGGTGATTTGGTAGATCCTACTACGAGTAATATTATAAATGCGAAAGTTTGGATGTCTGGATGTTTGTTACTCTTTCACGCAAAAACTACTGAACGGATTTTGATGAAACTATACAGTATTATTGTTTATAACCCAGAATTACATACATAAATCTGTGACAAACGAAATTTCACGCGGGTGAAGCCGCGGGCAAAAACTAGTATATCATAAACCCCATTTGATTTCGACATTAAGCTTTCGGTGGAGTGTGGATGATACACAATACATCATGAATGTACATACATACCATGGTTGGTATCTACTGATAGGTACCCATTTAGTCCCAATAAATTCTGGGTTTTTTGGACCAACTCTTTAGTAATGTTTATCTTTTTAGTTTCAGATTTAATGAAGAAATGGCGCAATCTGCGGGACACGTGGAAACGGCATGTGGAGATAGAAAAGAAAATCAGCGAGGGGCTCAACATCAAGAAAAAAGTGTACGTGTACTACCACCACATGGCCTTCCTGCTGCCGCACCTGCAGGCCGGCGACAGCGAGCCGGAGGACGGCCCCGCGCCGCTGCCCGCGATGCACGCGCCGGAGCCCGCGCCGGAGACCGCGCCGGAGACCGCGCCGGAGCCAGCGCCGCCGGTGCCCACGCCGCCACTCGCGCCATTGTCCGCGCCGCCACGCGCGCCATTGTCCGCGCCGCCACTCGCACCATTGTCCGCGCCGCCCGCCAAGAGGAGGAAGCTCAAGCACTCCTCCTCGTGCGTCCACCTCGAAGACATCGACGAGGACAAACACTTCCTCATGTCTCTGATACCGTCTTTCAGAAAAATGAATGAAGACGAAAAACTGACCGTTAAAATGGAAATACTGAGAGCTATAAAAGGAGTGAGGGATGGCTCTATCTCATCACAAGTCAATTTTAATTATGAGGTGGTGGATTCCCTTGGGTTTGCTATGGATATAGATACTAGGGGTGATGGTATTAAAAAAGAAGTGTGTATCAATGAGGATGATGAATTAATCGATCTCGAAGCTGAGGCCGTCAATGACGACGGTGACGAAGGGGAGGAATATATTATTATAAGACACTAATGTTGTGAGTATACTATGTTATTGAGTCATAATCGTGGAACCGGTGAGGATAGTGATCGTGAATCGTGACAGCGACGCAGCGAGTGGGTGACCTATATACGAGGGGCGTGTCACGGCGGCTGGCGATGCTGAATGCAGCGCGCGCGAGCCGCGACGCGCGCGCCCGGCACCAGTCGCCACTCGCCCGACGGGTTTCGTGTGACGGTTCCCCAACGGATACGATTTACTTTGGAACTATAAAACGTACGCATTCCGCACAATGCGTTGATAATTTTTAAGAGAAAATTGCACCAAGTTAAAAAAAACTTGTTAGTTTTTTACCTCCGACTTTATCAATAAAACTATTGAATTGTTTCCAGTTTTATTTTTAAATAATTACCTACAATATCTAACGCAATTATTAAAGCTTACGAAATTAAAACGTTAAGGTAGAGTCATTCTATAGTTAGCGACCACTATTGTAAAGTAAAAAGATAGTAAAACAGATAAAAGCACCAGTACAAAGAAAATACAAGCGAACAGTATCTTATCGGCGACCACGGCTGCGATCGCAATAATGACAGCAGACAGGATCAGGAAGATCCAGAAGACGATCATGAACCAGATGTAGACCTCACAGAGAGTGTCGCTCTCAAAGACGGCTGCGAAGAATAGAAGAATGTGGACGGCGCAGAGCAGCACGCCGAAGACGCCGCTGCCGAGGCGCACCGCGTCGGCCGCGGCCGGCACGGCCAGCGCCAGCGCGGCGCCGCGCCCGCGCGCGAAGCCCAGCACGAACAGCGCCGCCCAGCACAGCCCCACGCCCGCGATGCCCATGGCCGCCGCGCGCAGCGGCACGCTGCTGCAGCAGCGGTGCAGCGTGGGGCAGTTGTCCAGCACGTATCCCATTTTGCACTCGCAAACTTTCACCGATCACTCCTACGACACCTACTATGTTTACTTTTCGAGAATATTTTTAACGTGCTCGACATAAAACACTTTAAACGCCCCACTTCACACAAACCTGTTAGTCAATGTCAAAATTGTTTCAATCGATCATAGACAGAGAACAAGTTTAGAGAAGTCACGTAGAATACAAGGACAGGGTGTCCACATTCTGGAAAGTCAGGGAAAGTCAGGGAAAAGTCAGGGAAGCTCATAGCAGTCAGGGAAAGTCAGTGAAATAGAGGGGTCACCTGGAAAGTCAGGGAAACATTGAGATTTTGTCTACCAAAACACTGTTTGTCTCCCGAAATTTCCCAGTGATTGTAAAATAAGGGATTTAATTAATTTATGCTCTAGAAAGACCTTTGATCTTGACTATCGAAGCAATTTTTTTTCAGGTTTGGAGTGATTTACATTATGACTTTGTTTTTAGTCATAAATTATATTACTCCTTTTTAGTTTTTTATCTAATGAAGTGGATTGATCTAAATTATGACACAATTTTGTTCATAATTAGATTAGGTACTTTCATATAGTTTTTTTTTTTCAGGATTAGAGTGATAGATTAATAGGTAGACTGTTATGATTTTTTTTGTCATAACTAGATTACTCCTTTTTGTTTTAATAGTTGTACTGCCCGCTCGTTGCCCGCTCCGGCGCCGCTGCCGCGCCGCTGTTTTCGAGAACCGGTCTATTTGATTTCACGCGTAAGATCCTGCCGCTGCCGCGCCGCCGCCGCTCCCGCCCCGCTGCCCGCTAAGTTCGAGGCTGAGGCCTTAGAGTACCATTTTGGAATATTAGATAGTTGCTTCAACTTTAAAAAAACTTGCCGCAGTAGTGTTCATCCTTTTTTTTACAAAACGATGAGTCAAAGTGGTGTGAAAGTAAAAATCGTTCAAAATTTTAAGGAAATAAAATATTTTGATTAACTTTTGTGTAAAACCTGCAAGTATTCTGGGGGTTTTAAGAGTTGGGGTGAACAGCAGCACTACTTAAGTTGCCGATATAAACAGAAAACCAGGAATAATTGAAAAATTGTGGTCGTGGTAATGTAAAATATCATAAGGGGTGTCAATTTTCGTTGAATTTCATAATTTATTGTGTAAGTTAAAAAATAATTGAGATAGATTTTTTTCATTATTTTTCCTAAAGTAATCATGACTATGTCCATCCTGTGGCGTCGGCTTATCCTTGAATTTTGGGACATATTGTATACATAGTTGGTCAGGGAATTTTGAGAAAATTGTCAGGGAAAGTCAGGGAAAAGTCAGGGAATTTTTTCGAACATTTGCAGTGGACACCCTGAAGGAGATTATAATATAAAACTTACCTTTAACAGCACGCCGCATGAGGCGCGTGAGCATGCGCCGCACGCCACTCAGCTGCGCCGCGTGTGTCCGCTTTTTGTGTTTCTTCACACCCACTATTTTTCTGCACTTCACCTCTTTTAGACAGACACTTTCAACACTAGATACTTCATCCATCACTCTGTTCACTATTGTTTTCGTTTTGGTCACTTTTGCTTTAGGCATTTTTATCGGCGGGAGCGAGAACCTCGCGGGGTTCATGCACTTGATCGGCCACAGGTCGTCGGAGCTGTCGGCCGTGGACGTGTCCTGCGGCGCCGGGAGCTGCAGAGGCGGCAGGATCCTGTTGTACGGGACCAGGCGCCGCGCGTACTCGTAGCTCCTGGAGCTCGAGCCCGAGCTGAACCATATGTCGCTGGACAGCAGCGAGGAGGAAATCGTGTCTCGTGGTATTCCTAGATCGATGGTGCACTTGCGCGTTTTCGCGACGCTGACGAGATTGACCGGGTTCTTGTGGACCCTGGCGTTGCCGAGGTCGAAGCTGAGCTTGTCGGAGGACGCGGTGGTGTTGGTGTCGTAGGAGTCGGCGGTGGAGGACCAGAAGTGCAGCGGCGACACGGGCTCCATGTTGAGGAAGGCGCGCGCCACGTGCGCGGGCGCCGCGGCCACGGTGGGCGGCTCCGGGGACAGCACGCCGAAAGGGTGCGTGAAGTAGAACAGGCACAGGGGACGGTCCTGGAAAATGATCAGCATTAATCGGTTATTCAGTCAACACAACAATATCGAATCTACCTAGTCACAACCAGTGGCGGATTAAGAGTATCCGAGGCCTTAAGCACAGAGCCTGTGTAGGCCCTCTATTGCTTAAATGGAAATGGAAGGAATGGAATGGAAGGTATAAAGTATAAAATGAAAGTTCATCAAAATAGAAAGTGTGGTAGGTAAAATGTAAAACTTAAAACATTATTTTCCTTGCCTTAATCAGAGCAAACTCCGAGATTACATCGTCGAAATTTATCCGACGAAGTATGTCTGTGTCATGTTTATTTTAATATATACATTTATAAATATATACACATACAGTGTCCCGTAAAAAAAAATCTATGTGTCATTTTGTCAAAATAATAGGCATTTAAAAAAAAAACAAAAAATCTACTCCCGGTGACGGTCTTTTTACTCGTGTTGCCACAAATCTTCACTTTTTCAAAATTTTTTTTATGTAACCCTGAATAATGCTTCTGTTTAAAATTTATTGTACCCTTAAGACTCCGCCTTTATCCGAAACTATCCGTAACTTTTGAATCAGTTTCGGTTACGGTTATGGATATATTTTTTTATTTCGGATATCCGATAGTATCGGTTACGGTTACGGATATCCATAACATCCCTGCTTGGTAAGATGGCCCTCTCCGTTCCGCTCATACCTTTTAAAATGGCTTCTCCACCTCACTTAAGCCAGAAACTTGAATTTTGGGCACATTAGAATAATAAATATTTAACCAAGGTAGATAAAGTTAAAAACGGGATTATTTCCAAAAAAACAAAAATTGTCGACAATTACAGCAAGAATTTACCAAGTGTTATACCATTTTGGAATCCTTAATCCCATCAAAAACAATACTTGTCAAAAAAACCAAGTCTCGCAACTCAGTTGTTCTACGGTAAAAAGTTGTGAGATCCATGTAATACCAAGTCCAGGCCAGGAAATCTTTAACGTTTTACATAAATATATTGACTTGGTCATCGCATGAAAACACGTGTAAATAAAATTATTTAGTGCGATGGCCAAGTCAATAATTTATGTAAAACGTTAAAGATTTCCTGGCCTGGACTTGGTATTACATGGATCTCACAACTTTTTACCGTAGAACAACTGAGTTGCGAGACTTGGTTTTTTTGACAAGTATTGTTTTTGATGGGTATTATAAAGAGGAAAACTTTGTTTGTTTGGTTGTAATGAATAGGCTCAAAAACTACTGGACCGTTTTTAAAAATTCTTTCACCATTTGAAAGCTACATTACTTACGAGTAACATAGGCTAATCTCTATAAAATGTAGGTATGAAATGAAACGCCTCCATCCTCTGCTGGCGCGCCAGCAGAGGATGGAGGCCCCTGGAGAACAGGGGCCCCAAGCACGTGCTTGTAGTGCTTATACGTTAATCCGCCACTGGTCACAACAAACACTTTCACATCTTATTCAATTATAATAGTGGCATTTTGCAACAAAAATGTTGTTGAGGGTCTACCTCCATACTTGTTACAATAAGACTACATCATATTTTCGAAATATGTTTGTTTATAAATGTTTATACCTTTAGTATAGTGAATAGGTACTAACCTTATCTACACGGCATGTTTCACTACTAATAACACACCTTTAAGTCATCCGTTGAAGTGGACGCATCAGATCTTGGGCCATTCATTTTCACTCGACTGCTACTTGTACAGCTGTGTTGCGCGCGGAAAGCTCTTCGCGCAGCTTCCTGTAAACATTTTCTAGATATGCCGCGGTAAGGTTTCGGTCGGGGCACGCTTGGTGATGGCGGTCGCAGAGGCTGGCGGGAGGCGCGGGCCCGACTGCCGCGGCGGCTGGCACGCGACGCGCTCCGATACAGGCGATGCTTCGATACGCCGCGCACAGGGGAGCATTGTGAATGCGAACACATTTTTAACAAAAAGCGCCAAATCGGGCACCCAGGGGCTTTGAACTTTGCAAGTGAATATTTAAACTTGGACAACAATAGACAATTCTTAGAAATAACACCCGCTACGTCAGCGTGACGTCATATCGTTCGATCCTGTTGTCTCTGTCTTAGAGAGGGAAGGCACGAGAAACCGGCCGTCCCGCGCACCGCGACACTTTGCTCGAGCGCTTGGCTGTGACGGACGTTCTCTCGGTTCAGGGACTGTGATATTTGTGACCTAGATCATTATTTCTGGCATAGGCATATTTCTTTGTTACATTAATTTGATTTGTGGAATTATTGGTTTCGGTTATGTAATAAATCGATATCTGCTGGTGCCGTACATTACTTTTAAAAAGCACTCTCACCTCTGATCCTTAAGATCAGAAGTGGGATTGACCACGCGTTCTAACCGTTTTTGCCATCTATTTTTGCCT